CTGTCATTTAACGCCTATGTGGTCTTGGACAAGTAATTTAACCTCTTCTAATCTCAAATGCTTTATGTATAAAAAGTAAAAACGCCTTTTACCTCAGTGGGTAGCCATGAGAATCAAATGAGAGATGTGTATGCATGCTGTACTCTAGAAAGTATCATGTACATTTAAAGCATTATTAGTGGAAATTCCCCAGTGGTCCAGTGGTTAGGACTTGCTTTCACTATAGGGGCCCAGGTTCAATCTCTGGTCAGGGAACTAAGATCCCGCAAGCCATACAACATGACCAAAATAAATAAATAAAAATAACAGCACATTGGTGAAATTCTAATAAATAAGCTCTATTAAGCTAGTACCACTAGCTTCCCAGGTGGCACTAGTGGTAATGAACCCTCCTGCCAATGCAAGAGACTTAAGAGACATGCGTTCAGTCTCTGAATTTGGAGGAGTCCCTGGAGGAAATGGCACCCACTCCAGTATTCTTGCTGGAGAATCCCATGGACAGAGGAGCGTGGTGGGCTATAGCCCATAGGGTTGCAAAGAGTCAGACGTGACCAAGTAACTTCGCACACACACACCCATAGTATCATTCTTAAGAAAGGTTGATGAACAGAACCAACACATCATGAACATAAAGACAGCTCAAAAGATGATCAGGGCACAGATTTAGATTGTTGGAGGATGTTTCTCAGGAATTCACTCCTCCTAACACTGTTTATGTAAATCAAAAAGTCCCTTCAGAGTTCTGGGTTCCTGGTTCTTATACAATTTCATTTAGTTCTCATGGTGTGTTCTTCTTGCTTAAAATACACATCAGATCTGAGAACCACCATCCATTTCTGAATTCTGAGGTTGGCTATGGGGAAGTATGGGGGGACACACCCATACTCAGAGGGGAAACTCCCAAATCCAAAATACACAGAAAACCACACAGAAACGCCCTCTGCAAGGCCTTTATTGGTATGGGGTCACATACCAAGGTGAGGTTCCTGGGTGGTGTTGAGCCACATTTTCTGGTATCCATCCTCCAGATGGTACCTTGGGTGCTACCCAGGATGAGGGCAGTCAGCCCAGTGTCACGTCCAGGGCAACATCATCCACCTGCACCCCTCTACCTACTCAGGCCAGCAGGCCTGTCCATGGTGGGTTTATAACACACGTCAAGGTGGTGTTCATTCTGCGTAGGCAGAGAGCTTACCCCTTGGAAGTGAGTGTCTCTTGGTGAGAATTGTGGTTAGCTTTTACTCCAGATGGCCTCGCCACCAGTCTCACTGCGGCCTTCTCCCCGTAGAGGGTGGGTTCTTGTAAGGCAGGTGCCATATCTTATTGATGATTGTCACCCTGCCCTTAATGAGTAATACAACAGTCCCTCAATAAATGTCGTGTCATGGAATTGAAAACTGCCCACAACCTCTTCTGCCTTTTCCAGGTGCTATCCATGTATGTATCTGTCTTATTAAAGCATTGATGCCTTCATTCATTCATTCATCCAACACTGAGTAACTCATGTGTCAGGCACTGCACTAGAGACAAGAGCAGAAAGTCATGCACAGGAATAAATGCTCCCAGCGGAAGTCTGTACAAGGGGAAAGAGAAGCTAGGAAGCAGCCTAGCTCTTTGTTACGCTCTGGGAGGTGGCAAGGCATGGGAAAGGCTTCGCAGAGGAAACGGCATTACTGTTGGACCTGGAGGATGAGCAGGAAGTCCATGGGCAGAGAAAAGGAAGACTAGTAGCCTCCTGGATGTGCACAGCATGAACAGAGCAGGGAAGGGGAGACAGGGTATTTATCTGTCATCTTGGTGCCTGGGGCTCGTGTTTTGGAGTGGGGAGAGGGGAATGAGGCCAGAACTGGGGCTCAGGCAGTACAAGACAGGCCTGAATGCCATGCTGAGAATAGGTTCATTTGTCCTATGGGTGACAAGGATGCATCACAAATTTCCAGGCAATAACATGCCATGATCGGTTTTCACCAAGACTGTTTACTGTACATCAATCTTTCCATTCATCTGCTCTCTGCCACAAGGCTGGGAGTATATCATAAGCAGGAATACAGTCTCACCCTCCCTGGCACTAGCACAATGGCTGACGTGGGAGGAGAGGTCATCCCTATTCCAAAGGCCAGCCAGAGAGCTGACCCTCCTCCATCACCTGCTCCTTCCAGCTGGAAGGTGAGCGTGGAGAACAGCTCATGAGCAGGGGCGTGGAGATAACATGGTGACTGAATTCATGGGGTGGCCAAGCTAGCCTGACTCACTTGGCAAGAAGTAACAGAATACAAGAGGAGGGGAAGGCTGAGAACCCTCATGGAGAAGGAAAATCAGCAAGAGAAATGTGTTCATATAAAATGAATCGTATATGGTGAGAAACATGGAATCAGGAAGTCCCCTCTAAGCCACCAGCTGGAACTCCTGCACGAGGCCCCCTAGTGGCAGGAAGTTCCAGCCAAGGGGAACACGGACTCACATTTCTGACTCCGGGAAGTCTAGTCAACCATGAGGTAATCCCACTGAGTTCCAGCTACTCAACACTTCTGCAGTTGCCCAGCTGGGCCTGGGCCAAGGGACCCATGGGAGGGGAGTCAGAAGGCTCAGAGTCCACATAATGCTAAGGATACGAGGCAGGGTGGGGGTTACCAGCATCTTCACCCTACACACATCCAGGAGAAACCCAGACTGTCTCCAGGTTATGGAAAATGTCCAGATTGAGCCCAGGAGCCAGACAAGAATCCCCCACCAGCAACCTCACCTAACAACCACGCTCAGCTGTCTGCTGGGCAACTTTGAACTGCACTAGCAGGCTTTGTCGGAGAAGGCAATGGCACCCCACTCCAGTACTCTTGCCTGGAAAATCCCATGGACGGAGGAGCCTGGTAGGCTGCAGTCCATGGGGTTGCACAGAGTCAGACACGACTGAAGAGACTTAGCAGCAGCAGCAGCAGCAGCAGCAGCAGCAGCAGGCTTTGTTTTCCTACTCTAGCAGGGCCCAAAACAAGAGCTGTGTTTTCTTTTCCTCTGTTATGGGAAGGGAGATAACAGTACCAGCTACTATTACAGAGCATCTATCTAGTATCCAGCACTTAATCCTGCTTCTGTCTCATTTCTACAACTCTGACAGCTAAGTATTATCGTTTGTGTTAAAGGACCCAATCTGGACCTCCTGGAGCCAGAAAAGACACAGAAAACGAGTCAACTCTCCACAGCATTATCAGGAAGAAGTCACAGGTGAATCCAGGCAGCCCATTTCCGGCTTGGTGTGTCATCATCCTGAGGTCCAAAGGCCAGCCCAGGCCACACACTCCTTGCTGACCCTGATTTGTACTCTGTGACACCCGAGCGAGACTCTGCAAGATATCTTCTGTTGGAGGAATTCAAGATACTGCGACAATTAGACTAAGGAGGGGAGGCTCACAGCAGGTCACCCCCCAGGGCAGATAAGAACTGGGCTGGAATCCATGTGTGGGATGTGCATGGAATCCACATGCCCTGGTGCAGCTGGTGAGACCCCAGGCACGCCACACCCTCTCTGGGCCGGACCCCAAGCCAGTGCTTGGGCGTCTTCCTGGACTCTGCGTTCCCCCTCATCTCCCACATCTAACTAGGTACCTAATCAGTCTTCAGAGCAACCGTAAAAGATCTTGAATCCATCCCTCCTCAAATTAATTTGGCACTTGCCACATCTCACCCAGATTACTGTCCCCATTCTATCTGTGCTCCCATTCAGAGGGATCTTTCTGAAATACACATCTTCTCTCTTCACCTCCCTGCTCACCTGGTCCTGTATCTCTAAGAGTAAAGTTCAAATTCCTTGGCTTAGCTCCCATACCCTGAGTCTGCCTCCTGCTCTCCCCCAGGTTCTCCATTCAGCACATTCAACCTTTGCCTGAACTACCCTGAATGCTATTTCAGGACCATGTATCTGCTGACCTCTCTTCCTTAGAAGGCCCTTCCCCTCTGATGATGCCTGATAATCCTTCAAAATTCAACTCAAATACCACCTCTTCCAAGAAGTCCTCTTAGACACCAGAGTCTGACTTAGATGCTTTCTTATTTAGACGCCCAGCTCCCATGTACTTCCCCCTATCACAGCACTTAAGAGTTATTGATCTCTCTTTTCTGATTCCTGCACAAGTTCCTGGAAAAGAGGAACTAAGCTCAGAGAAGTCTTGAGTTGCTTTTGTACCTGTAGCAACACCCAGGCACTCAGCACAATGGTTGAGACACCACAGGAGTTTCTGCACAGCAAAATGAGTGGGTCTCCTCCACGGTAAGTGGGTCCCCCTGCTCACAGGGTGGAGGGTCTTCATGCTTCACCTGTCTGTAAAGGCTCAACAGTCTATGAACCTGAGCTCAGCTACTATGGAACCAATCCTTTGACTCTGACCGCACTCTCGCTTTGTGAAGTTCTATGTGGTCACCATGGACGTTCTCAGCCCTGAACGCCAGTGACCACCAATGATCAGTGGCCCCTGGAAGCAGTTTCATGGCTACAGGAAGGGGTGGGGTGGGGGAATGCAGCCCGTGGTCACTGGGCTCTAAGATTTCCAACCTCTGGTCAAGGGATGCTGGTCGCTGTGCTGGGTCCAGAGCGCCAGGCAACCTCAGCACTACTCATCTGAAGGCATCTAGCTCTGTGGCTCGGGAATGAGCTCTTGGTTACTGAAAAGTTCAGTCTTGTGAAATGGGTTTGGTTTCACATTTCCTGTCCTTGGCTCACTTATTTAAAAATTACACCCCAAGTGCCCCCTGAAAGAGATAAGATGCCTGTAGTCTGATTCAGAAGCTTCTTGCCATCAGCCCCTACATGAATGAAACCTGATCTGTGGAATGAAACTCAGGACAGGGACACTCCCGGGCCATCATTTCTTTTCCAGGAGCTCAAAGTCTTCAACGGTAAGATGAGGGAGGAAGGTCAAGTGAGTGCTGACCCCTCCTGGCACTGACATTTGGAGAGACTGGGTCCATTCTTCCTGAACTGACTCTTTTCCCCTCCCCCTGTCACTGACCTTGAGATCAAAGTGAGCGATTTTCTTGGCATGAAGGTAGTTCACCCCTTCCAGGATCTGCTTAATGAAGCTGGTGGCCTCCTCCTCACTCAGGGATTCCTTCTGGGCCAGGAAGTCGAAGAGCTCTCCTCCGGACACTCTGCAAGACACCGGTAGGGAGGGCCCAGGATCAGTCAGTCCCATGTGCAAGAAGCCCAAGCCCAAGCCCCTGCCCCCGGCCCTGCCCCCAGGCACTCTGCAGGGCAGAACCCCCTCACCCACCTCTCGGGCTCAGTCCAGCCAGCACAGAGACTGACTTTGCTACTACTTCTATCTGCTGTGTTCCCTTTGGATCACAACAGGTGGAACCCTCAGGTGACAGCAAAAGGGCCTCTGCTAACACTCGAAGCTCAGGTCCCTGGTTACCCTGGGTGGTCCCCTCCCGCCATATGACTGAGGTGACCGAGGACAGAAACAAGTGCTATGTGGGATGACAAAGAGAAACATATGCTGGGCCAGAAAATGGAGACTTAGTTTCCAGTCCAGCCCTGCTACTGGCTTTGGACAACTCCCTGCCCCGCCTACTCTAGGCAGGCCTCAGTTTCCTCACCTACAAAATGGGCAGACTGACCATGATTGTTCCCAAAGCCCCTTTCTGTGACTTTATAGAAGGCATGACCTCTTCAAAGGCATATCCCCACCTTAACCATCGAGATCCATCCTTTATATTCATCTTTCAAAACTCTAAAATACTGCTATTGTCCTCACACTCCACTTTCCAGTATGTTATGGTTCATGTGGCAGGAAGAGAGACCAACAGAGCAAAAAGAATCTCCCTTGTAAAGACTAGTTTACAGTTTTACCTGAATTCAGGATTTAGGGTTGCCAGACAAAATGGGAAGATTTTTATTTGCTAAATCTGGCAGTCCTACTGGGCTTGTTTGGCCTCTGACACATGCTGAAGTATCTAGCCGGCACATCTCAGGAGCTGGGACATAGTCAATGCTCACCCAAGGAAAAGATCTCAGGAAGGGATCAGGGCCAGGGGATCCAGGAACTCAGGATCACCTGGAAAACTTGTTTAACATGCACATTTTCAGGTCCTACCACAGACCCTACCAAATTAGATTCTCCAGCAGCAAACCCTCAGAACCTGTATTTTTGTAATAATAGCAACATAATAATGGTAATTGATAGTCATTGAATACTTGGAGCATTATGTATACTTTTTGCACATTATCTCATTTAATCATCACAACACCCTATGAGCTAAAGGATTATTATTTTGCTATCTCACAGTTGAAGAGACAGGCTCAGAGAGGTTAAGTAACTTGTCCAAGGTCAAACAGTCAGTAAGTGGTAGAATCAAGATTCAAACCCAAGCAGAATGACTCTCAACCACTATACCTTAAGAGACCTCAGATGATTTTTTAATGGCTCCTGTCCATTTTGGGAATCATTCACGCCCTGTCGCCTAGTCCATCCTAATTAAAGAGCCTCAAAATCTTTTTTCCTTTCTTTAAAAATATCTGTACATGGATCCACTCATCAATCTTAGCATCATGAGAAACAGAACAACTGGACATGCCATGATACAATAGGGAATACACAGCAACACCTACAAAGTAATACAACTTGAAAAATTGAAACTAAATGTTAGCTTAAGCATCTTGTTATAAAATCACTGCTGTTGAGAAAAAGAAAACTCAAAGTCACCCCAAGCCCTGGGCTGTCCCCTGACATCCCCGTCCAGCTACATGAGTGCCCTCTCACCCTGAGCTGCCAGTGGCTGGCTGGTTCTCTCCCCAGCTACATTACCTTTTGCTCTCACAGCACTGTGTGCAAGAAAGACATTCAAGAGAAGGTGGATGAATAAAAGAACAAAGGAAAGAAGACATTTAAAATAGCAACACAGCAAGACTTCACTGGCAGTCCAGTGGTTAAGACCCTGCGTTGCTAATGCAGGGGCATGGGTTCCATTCCCACAAGCTTCAAGGTGTGGCCAAAAAATAAAATAAAATAAAACTTAAAAATAAAAGAAAACATTAACATGGCACAGAATATTCTATATCATAGAGAAGTGAAACCTTGGCATTTGCAAGTGACCTGTTGGAGTCCTTTGCAAATTTTCCAATTTACAGTGTCCCTTGGGAATACACAGGACCCAGCCCAACCTTTGTTCTCATACTTGCAGCCTTGCTGGGCTGTGGGAGGCTGTGACCTCGGGCATATACGGCCCTTCCTACCTTAAACTGAATGCTGCATAAAGGTAAAAGAAAATCATGATAATGGAGATGTGTCCTGTCACCCAAAGTTACTGATGTAAGGCCCTGGCTGGGTGAGGACTTGGGGTGGGGGGTCAGTAGTCAGCTGCTCTACCTGAAAGTGTGATGCAGGCAAGAGACCCAGACAGACATGATCTCCTTTGGATGAAGACAGGAACAGCTATGGCGGCCCTTAGAATTGCCCCCAGAGACTTGGAAAGTGGGAGGCTGATGAGCCTGCTGGGGTGATGGTCCCAGCCCTGACACCCAGGCTGGGAACACTTGCATCAGTTCTCAGGCATGTCTTCTCAACGGGAAGCCTGGGCTAACCCTAACCCTCACAATGTAGTTACTCCCCAGAGTTTCTCAGCTCCAAGGCCTCTGCCCTGGAGTCACCCCCTCCACCCAAGCTTCTCTCCTCTCACATCCCTAAACAATTTAACTTAGAGAGGAAAAGAAAAACTTAATAGCCTGGCCTCTGCTCTGCTCCCAGTCCCCAGGACTCAATGCACCCACTGAGGTATCACTTTCCACAAGCCTGGAGTCAAGGGGGCCCCAGAGGGGTCAGGAGCCTGGGACGGGAGGGCTACCCAAACCTTCCAGAGCAGACCTAGATTTTTCAAAGCCAGCTCCACATGTGACATGAGTTAATTTCTTAAGAGTTTGAAAATATTCTTTATAACCTACAGAAGTCAACTTATGTGCTGTACTGTGCTAAGTCACTCAGTTGTGTCCAACTCTTTGTGACCCCATGGACTGTAGCCCGCCAGGCCCCTCTGTCCATGGGATTCTCCAGCCAAGAATACTGGAGTGGGTTGCCATGCCCTCCTTCAGGGGAAGCTAATTTATATGGATAGCTAAATCCTTCCCACCGCTGCTTTCATCAGTCCTATGAGAGGTGGCTGCAGCACTGGCCATCATGGACGGGGTAATAACAGCTGAAGGGGACTTACATCAGGGCTGGGATGCCCTCTGAGCACTGGCCATTTCAGCATGAAGCAGGAGGAAGCCCTGTACCAGACAACAGTGCTGAGAGGTAAAATCTGCAAACATCAACAGATGGGCTCTGACACCTGTGTTTAAGTATCAGGCAAACCCATGAACCTAGTAGGGCACAGTGAGGACCAGAAGGCTGAAGGCTCCTGAGCAGCTCAACAGTGGTCACACATAGAAGCACACAGAAAGGGACTTCCCTGGTGGTCCAGTGTTAAAGAACCCACCTTGCAATGCAGGGGACACAGGTTCGATCCCTGGTCAGGGAACTAAGATTCCACATGCAGTGGAGCAACTAAAGCCTGTGAGCCACATCCAGAGAGTCCATGCACTGCAATGAGAGATCCCACATGCCACAATGAAGGTCCCAAGTGCTGAAACAAAGACGTGATGCAGCCAAATAAATAAATAAATAAATAAATTTTTAAAGCCCATGAAAAGCCCTTCTCTCCTGGAAGGTCCTTCCCTCAGACCCTGCTCACACAAGGCTGAGACACTGTCTTAGCAATCCCTAGCACCACAGATTGGCACCCTGAGACAGGGAGACAGCTTGAGAGTTAAGGAGGAGATAGAGAAACTATGAACAGACAGAACTTCACAAACAGAGCAGCTCAAGCAGACCACAGGAGTACTAGTATGACAAGGGATGTTATAGGCAGTGATGGCTCACAAGAAGAGGGCACGTGATTGCTTGCTAACCATGGTTGGAGAAATGACCATGACCTGCTTAGAGAAACAGCGACAACTCAAGAACATCCTAGATCCCAACTCCTAGGGTTCTACAATCAGACAGTAACAGATAACTTCTCCTGCAATGACAGAAATGCCAATTAAAATGACCAAAACAACAAACAAGCCCCAAACATCATTTAGTAACTATAAAGGACTTGGGGATTCCCTAGCTGTCCAGTGGTTAGGACGCCACACTTCCACCACAGGGGGCATGGGTTGGATCCCTGGTCTGAGAACTAAGATCCAATATGAAGTACAGCATGGCTCCCTCACCCCCAAAAATATATATACACACAATATATATATATGTACACACACAAAAAAATATATATATTCAATATATATAGAGAGAAAGACAATAAATAATGGACCCTGCTTTAAAACAAATGCCCCAGGGTTGGCAAGGCTGCCTCGAGATGGGATATTCCCATGTTGCAGGTGGTACTGCTTAACCAAGACTGTCCTTGGTGAGGACACCAAGAGCCTAAAAATGTCAGCTTGGTCACTCTATTCCTGAGAATTTATCTAAAAAAAACTAATTCAGAAGAAAATGGGAAAATATGGGAAGAAAGTTGCTTTATGGCAATAAAATCTATAATGGTTAGAAACTGAAAAATCAAATGTCCTACAACAAGGAGCTATATGTATATAATTCAGTGAAACATGATATAGTCAGTGAAAAGGAAAAAAGCTTTTCATGACATTATGTGAACTTAGTGGGGGAGGGAGAGTAGAGCAGGAAACTGTACAAGGACAAAGATTGCACACAAATAAAGACTGAGAGGAACCACAGGGAAACATAAATGGCTGTGTTTGGGTGGTTGGCTTCTGAATATAATTTCTTTTTTAGTTGCTATAAGGTTTTTTGGGCAATAGACTTAAAGAAATGGCCTGGCTTTCCCAGCAAAGGTGGGCTTGTCACTCTCTGCTGGGAACCAGCATGCCATCTGCTGACCCTTAGCCTTGGGACACGTCACACCTCGGGCCATCCACATCGCTGGCTGCACCTGTAGGAACCCCCCAGGCTTGTCTGAGCCAGGCAGGTGTGTACAATTGAAGGAGGAAACAGACAGAGCTGGACTCCATCTTAGGCCAGGCTGCGAACATTAGGCTACACACGTGGCCACTCTTCCAATGGACTCTGAACTTTGTGCCCGGTGTCTATAGAAGTGGCATACCAATGGGAATCCAGACCCCTGGATAAAAGAGCCTCAGGACTTGGACTTGGACTCTCCGTTGCCTAAAAGAATATGCTAGTTATCTCTGTAACAGAACGAAGTCGTAAATTCCATTATGTTTATCAGGATATGACCACAGTCCTATTGATAAATGTCCACTGTTTATCTAGTCTTGTGACACATGAATCATGGGTTAACTTTGATTGTATCTCTCTTTTACCTTGTCAAGACTAGTTTCAAGGAAGTTGGGGAGGTGGGTTTGAGCAAGTACACTTAGGGTATATAATAAGGTTTTCACAAAAACTGGTCTGGGTCCTTGACTAAGAGGAGACTCTGCCTTGGGCCTGCCGGTGTAATAAACTGCACTCCACTATCTGCACTGTCCTTCTGAGTGAGTTTGTTTCCCGGAACACGTGGCTACAACACAATGACTAGTCCAAGTGGCTGAGAGGTCCCTGGGAGAAACATGGAGGACTTCGGAAGTTAGAGGAGGGCGAAGCATGGGTGATTCTATGCACTGGAATGTTGAGTTGGATAATTTAAGAATCCAATGCAAGAGTATGCAAATGCCCATCTGCTACATAAATCTATAGCCTGGCAACACCAGAGTAGTTCTCAAATTAGAATGGTCTCCAAAGTCAGGTGGCCCACCCAACCTGCAGGTGGGTTAAGGATGGCTGCCAGCTTTACAGATGAGAGCTGAAGCTCAGAGGGGTGAGGTGACTTGCCCCAGGTCACAAAGTCAGGGGCTGCTGAGACAAATGCCACTACTCCTCTGCTCACTGGCAGATGCCTCACGCCTATGAGGCTCAGAACACTCCCAACACGGGGTCTTGCTGCTTGACTGGACACAGCCATCGCCACTTGTGCCACAGCCCAGCTCAAACTCTATGGTCCGCCAGAGCCCCACATCCCCAGTCCATGGAATTGTCTCCAGGAGGGACATCAGGTGCCTGACCAAACCCTGGAGTCTTCGTATATCACCCATCCAAATTCTTCCAGACTCGAAATGAAGATTTCCCCAGCAGGCCCAGCCCAAGGCCGTCCCACCTCACACACACAAGCAGTGTGGCCCCAGCCCTGGTGCCGCTACTTCCTGGCTGTAGGATCTAATAACTGACCTGGACTTCAGTGTTCTTGTCTGTAGCATGGAGATAATAAGAGTCTCTGTGTGATCGGATTGTTATGAGGATTAAATGAGATAAGAGATAGTCTCGGCAAAGTGAATACAAAGTCCTCTCGGGGTAAGTAGAACACTTCCCTCAACACAGCTTCTTTGAAAATTGAACAAGATAACTAGCACAAAGGACCTCTGCTTACAGCAGAGCTCTCTAAATAATTGTTGCTACAATAACAAGTATTCTTGCCTGGAGAATCCCATGGACAGAGGAGCCTGGCGGGCTACAGTTCATGGGGTTGCAAAGAGTCAGACACAACTGAGTGACTAAGCACGCATGCACAATAATAATAAAGGCATCAGACACAGTACATAGGCCCCGGGGTTTTCTGGGAAAGGGCTGGGGAAGAGCTTCACAGAGCTGGGAGGGTGCTTGTTCTTCTCTTCTTTGAAAAACAGACTCTCTTTAATGGCCCTCCTCCTCCCCCCGTCCATTCTCTAACGTGCTCACCAGCCAGGAAAGGACCCAGCGCTGGCCACTTCTTCCCTTTCATCCCCAGGGTCCAATGAAAGCCAGACCTAGACCCTGGCCCTCAGTCTCTGCTGCCTGGGTTCCGGAGGAGCGGGTAACTGAGGGTAACCGCGTCCTACTGACTTCATCTCCTCCGGTGGAGCCTCTGGCCGGCTGGTTGCTGCTCCCTCTGGGGCCTGTGGCTGGAGGCCCCCCTCCCCACGCCTGCTGCCCGCAGGGTCCCAGGCTCCCACTCACAGTTCGAGGATGAGCACCACGTCGGTGCGGTTCTCAAAGACGTCGTGCAGCTTGATGACGTTGGGGTGCAGCACCCGCCGCAGGATGCTCACCTCCCGCTGGATCTCCTCCAGGCACACGCCCCGCCGGCTGGCCCGGCTCTGCCGCTTCTTGATGAACTTGGCCGCGTACTCCAGCCCCGTGCTCTTCTCCCGGCACTTCTTCACGATGGCGAACTGGCCGCTGCGGGGACACAGACACACACAATGAGGACATCACTGCAGTCCTGGGAGAACTGACCTGGCCGCCACCCCCCGGCCACAGCAACTCCTTCTTCCAGGGCAGGACAAGTCACGTCATCAGCCAGGATCCCCACCTGGCCATCATCCGGAGACGGAGACAGAGCAAGTTCTGGGCTCCCCTTCTGTTCCTATGAATCCTTGACCTTGTACTAGGAAGGAATGGTAGTGTTGTCATTCCCAGTGTACAGATGGGAACACTGAGGCCCTGAAAGGCTCCTGGTTTGATCCAGATGACACAGCTTCAGCTAGAACCTCTGTCTTGTATTCACCAGATGAAACCACAAGGTCCAGAGGCTTATACTACTTAATGGAAAGATTTTAAAGGAAAAGCAGGGCTTCCCTGGTGGTCCAGTGGTTAAGACTCTGAACTTCCACTACAGGGGGTACAGATTTGATCCCTAGTCAAGGAACTAAGATCCTACAAGCCGCAAGGTATGGAATGAATGAATGAATGAACAGTAAAAATGGTCAGCACGGTCAAATTACTAATAGTAACAATCATCTGTTTGGGCCTCCCTTATCTGGAAGTAAGTACAAACTCATCTATTTAGAATTGTAAGGAGACAAACCACCTCTCTAGTCTCATGTTCACACCTTGGTTTCCAACCCTTTCCAACAAATAAAATCTCAATTACCTGACACAAGCCAGGTAGTGGCTTGGACAATAAGAAGACAGAGCAAACACCAGGCTAAAGCGCTTAAAGACAAGGCCAGAGGCTATGCCAGCGGGGCTGGGGGGATCCCGGTGGAAGTGGGGATGGGGAAGGTAGGGCAGCCTAACATTGTTAGGAACCTCGGTGGGTGTTTCTCATGATTAGAAGACAGATAGTCCATGGAATTTTCCAGGCCAGAATACTGGAGTGGGTAGCTGGTCTCTTCTCCAGGGGATCTTATCAACCCAGGGATCAAATCCAGGTTTCCTGCACTGCAGGCGGATTCTTTACCAGCTGAGCCACCAGGCAGGCCCAAGAATACTGGAGTGGGTAGGCCTGTTCTTCACCAGTGGATCTTCCCAACCCAGGAATCGAACTAGGGTCTCCTGCATTGCAGGTGGATTCTTTACCAGCTGAATTACCTGGGAAGCCCAGATAGCACCAGAGAATTGTAAAATATTAGGAAACTGAGGCACAGGAGACATCAAGTGACTCACCCAAGGTCATCACAGAGTTAATGGCAAAGCCAGGCCAAAGAGCTGAGGACCCTGCCCAGTGTTCACAAACTGCTAAGACAGTTGAAGGAGTCAAGACTATGTTTAGTGCCCTCCAGGGCTGAGCCTGAATCCTTCACTCCAGGGACCTAGACAGCATCTATGAAATGGTGCAAACTTGGAAAAACTCAGCAGTGGCCACAGGACTGGAGAAGGTCTGTTTTCATTCTGATCTCAAAGAAAGGAAACACCAAAGAATGTTCAAACTACTGTACAGTTGTGCTCATTTCACATGCTAGCAAGGTAATGCTCAAAATCCTTCAAGCTAGGCTTTAGCAGTACGTGAACCAAGAACTTGCAGATGTACAAGCTGGATTTAGAAAAGGCAGAGGAACCAGAGATTAAATTGTCAGTATCTGCTGGATCATAGAAAAACCAAGAGAATTCCAGAAAAACATCTACTTCTGCTTCATTGACTACACCTAAGCCTTTGACTACGTGGATCACAACAAACTGGAAAATTCTTAAAGAGATGGGAATACTAGACCACCTGTATGCAGAAACCTGCCAAAGTGGCAGGTAGCCCCAGGCCAGCCTCCCTGAGTGCTCTAAAGGCAGCCCCCTCCACACACACACACACACACACACACACACACACACACAGAGGGAAGGGCAGCGGCCTTCACCATCACTGGGGGTGATGTTAAGGCAATCACTGGGGGCCACTCTCAGTCTTTGGAGACTACCCAATGGCCACCCTCCTGGGGATCCTCCCACTCCCCTTCCACCAGTGTCCCAGGTTTTCCTGACACCCACGCTACCTACTGCCTGAGACAGAAACCATAACCACCGCGTTGGATTTACTCTCTCGGGGGCGCTGGGGTAGAAGTTACACACAAGGAAGTGCTCTGGGTACAGTAAGTCCCCTCGTAAGAACGAGTTCCATTTCAAAAGCGTGTTCGTAAACCCATGTTGTCTCTAAGTCCAACAAAGATAGCCTAGGCATCTGACTGACACAATCAGCTATATAGCACTGTACTGTAATAGGTTTATAATACTTTTCACACAAATAATACATAAAAAGCATAGCAAATAAAGAAAACATTTTCAGTCGTACAGTGTAGCACCTAGAAAAGTACAGCAGTGCAGTCCAACAGCTGGTATACAGGGGCGGGCATCGAGTGAACAAGCAAGAAGAGTTCCTGACTGGAGGAGAGAGAGGAGGTGGGAGACGGTAGAGCTGAAGAACCGTCGGCAATAGGAGGTGGAGGGCAAACTGCAGTTTCACTCACACCTGACACTGATGGGATGCACGTTTGCATCTTTGAAAGTCTGCAACTGGAAGGTTCGTATGTAGCGGACTTACTCTGTTTGCCTCAGCCTCAGAAACTAGTAGCACATCTGAATCAGTCCATTACTAGAATACTCCTCAGTGAGACAGCCTTCAAAATAAACCCAAGTGATCAAAAAAACAGATGCTCAAGTAGAGCAAGTGAGGAATAAGAGATGCCAACACTTAAATAGCATTCTGTGGCAACCATCGTAGAGATGTCACCACACACCTGTTCACACATCCCTCCATCCCCTCATCCCCCAGAGCTTCCTAAGCATGTACTCTGTGCCAGGCTCTGCCTGCACAGCAAGGGGCAGGGACCAAAGACTCAGACACCAGGTACAGATGGAACTCTGGGGAGGGAGAGGGCCCCGGTGGCTGGGCTGGGAAGGCTTTGTGGAGCCATGTATATATCACACTGTCTGCTAACTCTAAAATTTCAGCTATTTATGCCCCATATACCAATTCTGCGCTGTCTACACATGAGGGCCTGATGCAGGTGGGGTTAAATCAGGCCTCCCAAAGTCAGAGGGAACACGTGCAGCAAGATCTCTGGTCCCTGAGAGCAACTCTGGGCCTTGGGACATCAGGTCCCTTAGCGGGTGCCAGCAAACACTGAACAAAGCCTCGAGTCCCAGGCAGCTGTGCATCTCCAAGTCAGGACGGCCACACTCCTCTCCTCCCTGACACCTCAAGGAGTCTGGCATCAGCAGCCCTGAGGGATGGGAAAGACAAAGTGTAAGCATTTTAAACTATTTGTTTAAGCTTGTGGAGCACAGAGGTGGAGGCAGAGGATTTTTATAAAGCAGAGCTAAATATTTCAGATCACCTTGACAAAAAAGCTTTCCCTTCTCCTTAGGGGGAAACGGAGGCATTTTTCTGTATCACATGCCTGAAAAATTCCTCTAACTCTCAAAAAGCAAATGAGTGTTTGCTTTTGAGTGTTCTCTCTGTGACAGCAGCTGAGGCAACGAGAGGTGACTGGGGGTCAGGCCTAACAGGAGCAGGCGATCTCCTCCCGCCAAAAGGAGGTATTTTGAGAGCAGATGACTAACACAGAGCCAAATACCAGCCAATGCCACTCACCTTGCCTCTCTTTGCAAGACAAGGGTCCTCCACTCGGCCTGCCCTGGGGAGCCTCAAAGGGAGCCGTGGCCACTCGCTGGTCTCCTCTCTCCTTGGGCAGGTGCTGGAATGTGTGGAGTATGTGTTCCACTAGGCCAGCCCTGGGCGGGAGGAGCAGGCTTCCAGGTCAGACAGGCCTGGTCTCAGGAGACATACACTGTCACCTGGGGCCAGTGGCCACCTTCTCTGTGCATCAGTTTCCTCATCTGTAAAATGGGAACTGTGATTCTCTGCCAAGGAACTGTGAGGACTGGAAATATGTCACGTCAGGGGGGACTTCCCTGATGGTCCAGTGGCTTAGACTCCACGCTCCCAATGCAGGAGGCTCAGGTTCGATCCTTGGTCAGGGAACTAGATTCCACAGGCACAACTAAAAGACCCCACATGCAGCCACTAAGACCCAGCACAGTCAAGTAAATAAATAAATATTTTTTAAAATTAAAAAAAAAACACATCATGTTGGCCTGCAGGCAAATCTAATAAACAGTGACTAGTATTACTGCTATTAGTTTGTTGCTCATGTGAAGGCAGAAGTGAGTCGCTGATTTACATGGACTTCAATGTGTGGCCAGGGCATCAGTGCAATTTTAACACATGTCCCCACCCCACCCTACACTCTGATGATCCCAGTGCACAGTCAATTTGGGGTTTATCTTCATTTGAAACAATTCACCAACTCTATTCATCCTTAGAGCAGTGGTTCTCAACCCTGGTGGCACACCAGAATCACTGGGGAAATCTTAAAGTTACTGCTGCCTGGATCCCACCTCCAGAGCTTCTGATTTCCTTGGACTGGGAATCAAGATATTTTTTTAAAACTTTCTGGGACTTTCCTGGTGGCGCAGTGGATAAGAATCGACCTTCCAAATCAGGGGACACAGGTTCGATTCCTGGTCCAGGAAGATTCCACATGCAGCAGAACAACTAAGCCCATGCGTCACAATTACTTAGCCTACACTCTAGAGCCTTCGAGTTGTAACTACTGAAACCCACGCACCTAGAGTCTGTGCTCCGCAACAGGAGACACCACCACAATAAAAAGCCAAAACACTGCAATGAAGAGCAGCCCTCTACTTGCCACAACTAGAGAAAGCCTGCACAAAGCAACAAAGTCCCAGTGCAGCCGAACATAAATAAATCAACTTTCTGGGTGACCCCGATGTGTAGCCAGGCCTGAGAAACACCAGCTTACAACAGTCCTCTGATTATCTCCATTTTTCCATATGAAAAAAAGTACACCACTGTAACTCATATTATTCCTTGTCCTTCTCAGTATTGATATATTACCCTCTCCCTTAGATCTTTGATCTGACCATGAGAAGGAGGGAGAGAGAAG